CCTTTCATCTAGGGCCCTTTTACCTACAAGGGACCAGATGGGAAGGGCATGGTTGGATAATTGGGCATTTGAATGAGTGGATTCAAAGGTAGATCCGATGACTAGAGGATGGGGGGAGGAGCAGAGATGTTTGGCGAACACAGGGGTACAGAATACATGGAACTTTGATGGGAGGATGGAAGAGGAACGCATCGAGGGTGAATGTTGGAATTAATGGATTTGGGATGAAGGGTTCGAGAATGTGTGGATTGACGCCCGTTCGGGTGAGGAGTAGGTAGGGTACGAGAGTGACGGTTTGTAGAGTAAGGAATGCAAAACGAGGGAGTAGGGAGTTGGAAGTCATCCCTCTCTCTTTTTTTCTCAAAACTACAAGCAATTCCACCTTTCCTCTCGAAAAAAATAGAGGAAGATGGGTCATCCCAATTTTTAAAAGTCTGCTTAAGTAATCCTCAAAATATAGTTTTCCGTTGATTTTTAATAAAATTTCGAAGGACGCAAGCTTCCTTGATACACTGGAGAGGAGTAAGAAATTCTCTCAAGGGCCATAACATAAAAATGCGCGTTGAATGTGAAGTTTACACAGCGAACAAAATGCCCAAACTTGGACATCGCAGTAGTCGCAGCCAATAGGGTGAAGTGAAGGTCAGCAGAGTTACAAGGGAACTAACAACGATGTCATGTGCTTCTTGGCAAAAACAAAGGCGACAGTGTATATCACGGTTGGAAGAATGCACATTGGATGGGGCTAAAGTACCCAGGCCAGATGCAGAACATGAAAAAGGCAAAGGAAAGGAAAAAGGAGGAGGCAAGTGAGTGGATCAACAAAGGCGATCAAGGTTGACACTACGACGAACATCCACACGGTGAACGTGATGGATGAAGTGATGCAAGGGGAAAGGCGACAATGGGGAGGCAGCAGAGTAATGCACGGGTGAGAGGAGTGAGTGAGGAGGGCAAGGCAAGAGGTGGGCATTCCACTTCTCACCATTCCAGTGGATGTGTGTCCACTCGACGGTGTACTGACGTGCAGTGAGTGGCACGTCTGTCTGACCACTTGGTACTTCAGTTTGGCAGTCTGTCTCTCCTCCTGTGCTGCTGCCTGTGGCAACTCCCAATGTACGCATGTGTGTGCATGGGAGGATGTGTGCATGCGTGCCAGAATGAGGCAGCGATTCTTCACTGTCATAGGGAAGACAGGCCACGTTGGCAGCTGTGTGGAGGCCTTATGCATGCGCACGTGCGAGAGTTGCATGCTGAACGGTGGTGATGGTTGTGTTGATGGTGGTGGTGGTGGTGGAGGAGGAGAGGAAAGTAGTGCCTTATTGTGTTGCGAATGGGTGGAAAGAAGGCGCTCGGTGATGGCACTCCTCAACTTCCCTGCATCGAGTGCTGATTGATGGTGTTGGTGGGTTGCGAGGTGATGTGGTGGACACACATCGGAGTATGAGGCAGTGACGTGGTGAAGGTTGTCGTGTTGGAGGTGAGGGGGGATTGTGGGAGTGAGGGCACGTCATGTGGCTGAGGTACGACTTGTGCACAAGGCTCGAGGTGAGTTGGAATGTGGTGTCACACCTCATGTGAAGCAATTAGGAGGTTGTTTGGGAGAGCAGAAGTGGCGAATGCGTATGGTGAATTGGTGGCGTGGTGGAGCGGTGGTGAGAGGAGAGGAGGAAGGAGGAGGGCTAAGAGGAATGCACTTGTTGTTGGAGTAGTGGATGGATGGATTGTAGTGACAGCGAGGCGGTCATCGCTGTGATGTGTGGAAGTTGGGTGGTAGGGAGAAATGTCTGAGTGGGTGGAAAGATGTGCTGCCTGTTCGGGATTTGGAATGGGTGCCTACGAGAGAGGGAAGGAGGCAGGGAGAGAGGGAGGGAGGGAGGGAGGGAGGGAGGCAGAGGACTCTTTGCTGACGTCATTCAGTCCTGCCGTTCGTGACCGCTAGTACGGTGCGGACGGTGAACGTGTGGTCTGTCACTCCTCCGCTGACACAAGGAGAGGCGACGCAAGATCTGCCACCACCTTCAACCCCTGAGCTGGTTCCAGATGATGTTAATGG